TTTGTGACCTTGGATTAGATAATCGTTTTTTAGCTATGACACTAAAAGAACAATCAACACAAGAAAGAAATGGATAAACTGAACATCAAAATTTAAAACTTTTGTGCTCTACATCATACACACTATAATATTTATCATTAAAAAAAAAAAACAGAAAATAAGTATTGCAGGCAATGTGGAGATATTGTGACCCTGTGCACTACTGGTAGGAATGTACAATGGTGCAGGCACTGTGGAAAATGGTATGATGATTCCTCAAAAACTAGAATTACTGTATGATCCAGCAATTCCACCTCTGGATATATACCCAAAAGAAATGAAAGCAAGGACTCAAACATATTTTTATACCCATGTTTATAGCAGCATTATTCACAATAGCCAAAAGGTGGAAGCAACCCAAATGTCCATTGACTGAGGAACAGGTAAATGTGATATATACATACAACAGAATGCTATTCAGTCTTAAAGAGGAAGGAAATTCTGACATATGCTACAACATGGATTAACCTTGAGGATATTACGTTAAGTGAAATAAGCCAGTCACAAAAGGACAAATATTGTGTAATTCCACTTATATGAGGTACTTAGAGCAGCCAAATTCAAAGAGACAAAGTAGAATGGTGATTGCCAGGATCTGAGAGGAGGGGAGAATGGGCAGTTAGTGTTTAATGGATGCAGAATTTCAGCTGGAGAAGACAAAAACGTTCTGGACATAAATGTTAGTGATGTCTGCACAACAATGTCAATGTATTTAATGCCACAGAATTAAACATTTAAAAAGAGTGAAAATAATAAATTTTATGCTATGCATACTTTACCACAATAAATATTTTAAAAAATAAAACAGTAAAAAACTTTAATACTTCAAAGGATACCATCAAAAAATTGAAAAGATAACCCACAGAATGGGAGAAAATATTTACAAATAATGTAACTGATACGGAACTTATATTCAGAATATATAACTTATATTCAGAATATATAAAGAACTTTTACAACTCAAAACTTAATTTAAAAATAGGCAAAGGTTATGAATAGACATTACTCCAACGAAGATATAAAAATGGCCAATAGCACAGCCTTATAACACCAAGATCATGGGTTTGGATCCCTTTACTGGCCAGCTGTCCCCCCCCAAAAAAGAAAATGGCCAATAAGCTCATGAAAAGATATTCAACATCATTAGTCACTATGGAAATGCATATCAAAACCATGATGAAATATCATTTCACACTAACTAGGAGGGCTATAATCAAAAAGACAGATAATAACAAATGTTGCCAAGGATGTGGAGAAATTAGAAACCTCCATACATCGATGGTGGGAAGGCAAAATAGTATAACCATTTTGGAAAACCATCTGGTGGTTCCTCAAAATGTAAATATAGGGCTGGCTAATTAATTCGGAGAGTGGTGGTAATAACACCAAGGTCCAGGGTTCAATCTCTGTAACTAGCCAGCCACCAGAAATTAATATATAAATAAATAAATCATTTTAAAGTCACATTAAAATGTTAAATATAGACTTAACATATGACCCACTTCTAGGTGAATACCCAAGAGAATTTAAAATATTTTTCCACATAAAAACTTGTACAAAAATGTTCATAGCAGCATTATTCATAATAGCCAAAAAGTGGTAACAACCCCCCAAATGTCCATCAATTTACGGACAAATAAAATGTCTATCCAATGATATTATTCAGCCACCAAAAAAAATGAAGTACTGATACATGCTACAACACTGGTGAACCTTAAAAACTTCATGCTAAGTGAAAAAATTCAGACACAAAAGGCCACAGACAGTATGAATCCACCTATATGAAACACCCAGAATAGGCAAATCCATAGAAACAGAAAGAAAATTAGTGGTTGTCAGAGGTTGGGGGCAAGGGGGTTTGGGAAGTGACTGCTAATGGGTAACAGATTTCTTATGGAGTGATGGAAATGTTCTGGAATTAGATAGTGGTGTTGGTTGCATAACTCTTTGAATAACTAAAAAACTCACTTGACTGTACACTTAAGGGACTTTAAGGGTGAATTTTATCATAAGTGAATTATAACTTAATAAAGCTGTTATAATAAAAAGAAGGAAGTGATTATCAATTGTGTCAAGTTGCTGGTTGATTGATTAAGAGAAGGACTGAAAATGAACCATCAGTTTGGCAATATGGTGGTCATCTAATGGCCTTGGCTAAAGCTATTTTCGTGGAGTGGTAGGAATGGAAGAATTGAATTTTATACAATGCACACAAGACTACCTAAAACAGTACCTCGCACATACCAAAAAAATAAATAAATAAAATAAGATGAAAAATAAAAACTCAAATTAATGATAAGCTGCAACTAATAAGCTTAGGCCCTAAAAGGTCTCAAGCAAGGTAGTAAGGAAAGCTGATTTCTCAGATGCTGTGTGGTGGTAGCAGTCTCTGTGATACTGATTGAGTTTCCCAGATTAGGGTGACTGCTCTAGCAAAGTCTATTAAAGGAATGTGTTGGTAAGAGGCTGGCCTGTTTGCTCATTCTGCTCTATACAATGGTGGGGGAGTAAGGCCTGAACCTGACTGCCACCACTTTGTGTCCCCTCCAACACTGCCTCTGCAGCCCTCAGGCCAGACTGAGTCTGGGCTAGGACCCAGAACTGTGGCTTGCTTTCTTATTGGTACTTCAGAAAACCTTCTGACATCATCACTGCTGCTACCACCACCTGCTACCACAGGTACTGCAGTTCCTCCATTGTCCAGCAGGATGTCAGCCCAGAAAGGGAATTTTGCAAGTCAGGCACAAGTGTCCCCAGTGCTCATGCTAACATCAGCTCCCACTAAAGGTTTAAGGAGGTTGTAAGGAAGTATTGGTCTGATATTTGTTATTTTAATTGTTGCTGTAATGAAATGATTTCTAAATGCCCGGGGAGAAGAAAAACAAGCTGCAACATTAAGAGGAAAAGAGAAATCCCTTACAGCTGAGGAATTATAGAAAGCTTCTTGGAAGAGATAATGTTTTGGCTGTATGATGAAGAATGAGTAGATTTTTGCTAGGCTGAACTGGTGAACACAACACCTTAAGTTAGAAGGAAGCATGTATATGTGAATATGCTGAAAACAGAAAGTTCCAGACAAATTTGTAAGACTGCAAAGTTTCCTTTTGGGAGGTATATAGTGGGACAATGGGAGATAAGCCTGGAAATGGAAACTAGAGACCAATTATAGTGACCTTGAATGCCAAGTACAGGAATCTAGACTTTTTATTTTCCTTTGCTAAGCTATAAGGAGCAGCTCTAAGGATATTTGAAAGGACAGTGACATAATTTTTCAATTTTTAATGTTACAACTTGGTATTATATCATATGACTCAAATTCTAAAAAGTGTAAGAGGGTATACAGTGGAAAAATCTCCTTCCCATCCCATTAGTTTTTCACCTAATACCTCTCCCCATTGGGAACCACATATCAAGTTTCTTATGTATCTTTCATTAGATATTCTATACATATACAAGCAGACTCTATGAGTGTGTATGTATTCTTTCCCTCCCCTTTTTATACAAATGAAAGCATCCTATACATACTGTTCTGCACTTTGCTTTTTTCATATGTCATTATATCTTAGATATCTTTACATTTCAGTAAAGAGCTACCTCCTTCCTTTTAGCTACATGGTACTGTATTACATTGTCTGGACATGCCCATAATTTACTAAACCAGTATGTCTTAACAAACATTTAGGTTGTTTTTTATCTTTGCTATTAAAAACAATGCTTCAAAAATAGCCTTGTACATATGTCACTTCCACATGCGAAAATATACCTGCAGGATAAATTCCCAGAAGTGGTTTTGAGGGCTCAATGGGTATACATATTTGCAATTTTGACAAAATTTGCCAATTGCCTTCCTTAAGGTTATCCCAATTTACACTACCATTCCACCAGCTATGTATGAGTATCTGTTCCCTCACACCTTTGCCAACACAATATGCTTCATAATTTTAATTTTGCCTTAGGAAGATTAAGCAGGTTATATGCCTAAGAGGACAACCCCGCTTACATTTAAAACTGGATGAATGCAGCATATGCTCTTTGGATAAATTTAATTTTGATTGGGAGAAGTAGTTTTAAAGCTACATATCTCCACACTGTCTAGAAAAATGTTCTCTCATTTCTTGTAGTCAAAAACCATTCCAAGTCTGGCCGGTTAGCTCAACTGGTTGAGCATGGTGCTATAACATCAAGGTGAAAGATTTGGATCCCTGTACAACCAAAAAAAAAAAAAGTAAAGTTAATATTTATTTTTTTAAAAACATTCCATCCTCCAGTTCTGAGTGAGCAGCCTTTTGCTGGAAAAGGAAGAAAGGGAATCTGACCTATCGAGGGCAGAGTCAGGCTCTTGGGCAGGGTCAGCACTATAAGCAGCTCCTGCATGCTCCAAGTCAGAAATAAGGTTCTGTGTCGGCAAGTCTGGGACTAGGAAGAAGACAGGTCAGGGTAGGGAAATTTTCCATAGTGGCCTATGAGGTAGAGAAGCCCCATTGGTTGCTGAGGAAATGGAAATCTCATCTTGGCAAGAAACCCATGGAGAGTAATTTTAACATGCAACACAGAATTCTTTTAGTCCTTCTAGTGCTTGTCGGCACCTAAGCCTCATTCCCTACTCCTACCTCCCACTCACACACCTACTTCACACCTGAATATTCTAAAACTCCTGCAGCTGCAAACTACTCTGCCCAGATGTTCTTTCCTCTTTTCAAAAGGAACTTTCTATAGCTCCCCCCAATACATTGGAAGCCCCCTGAGGGCAGAAACTTATTTCCTGATGCTTTAGAACACTCTTTCCTCTAATTCCCACAGGATTAGTTTAAGATCTATACTCAAGAAATTTAGGCTGACTCAAGCTTTGTATACCACCCCCGCCCATCACCTTGTGCAACTCGCCACCATGCTGGGTCTCATGCCGGCCAGATGGAGGCCACACCTAGCCAGGGACCCCATTAAATAGAGACTCAGAATACCTGAGTGCATGTCTTCTACTGAGAGATGGTTTGCCTCATGTACTAGCTCGTGCAAAAGTTTTTTCTGCCTCAGTCTTCTCTCTCTTAGAACATTTTTAAAGTTGCTGATGCACTTGTTGAGGTAAATGGTCTCTGCACACACTTGCTCTAGGCTTAGTCTGCCCTGCTTAGGAGATTCGGCATTGGAACAAGTCTCACTTCCCAGACACGGAGCCAGAGAAAAACTTGGCAACGAATATGCAAGAGGTGAGTTATTAGAAGCAAGAGAGAAGTTGCTTGGATCTTGAAGCATTTGATGTCCCTGTGTAGAGATACCCACTCCACCAGAGACTACACTGAGCAAGCTCTCACTCCCCTGACTCCCAGGGCTCTCCTTGGCACCCCCCAAACTCATTGTCCCAAGAAGCCGATCACTGTTCTCTGACTGGGAACCACTCTCATTGCTTTCCAGGTCCTCAGGGCTGATGGACCCACTGTTCTCCAGCTTCTGCAACACACCCTGCAGAGCTGAACGAAAGTGGTGAATTGCTCGGCCCAGTTTACTTGTGTAAAACTTGATTTCTGCATCTTCATCCTCCTGAGAGCCACCCAGAACACAAGAGGATTTATCAAGGACATCCTTAAGGACCTGAGCAGCACATTCCTCCTCTTCATTCAGGTCAATATGAACCATGTCACTGAAAGTCTCAGGCCCTATGATAATTTCCTCCATCATACTGTCACAGCTCAGAGTTGCAAACCCTCTAGACTTGTCTGCCAAAAGGTCTTCGAGCTGCTTTGAGCTCAGAACATCAAATCCAGCTTCACAGCTCAGGAGCTTGTCCTCTGCATTTATTCTCTCTGTCTTCAGCAATCCAGACAGTGACAGGCAGCTGCTGGCCTCACTTTTACTGCTGCAGTCATTTTCTGTTTTTACTACTTTACACGCTTCAAGTTCTTGGCTGCACTTTTTGAAACACTGGGATTTCCCAGAATCCTCCTCTTTTGAGACTAACACCAGGGAAGATTTCCCAAATTGATGAAGGGTAGACAGAGAACCTTCTCTTCCTGCTGGTTCACCACAGCTGCCAGTGATAAATTGGGATGTTCCTGATGTTCCTTTTATTTCATCCTGTAACTTAGACACATCACTTTGCTTTGCTAAATTGAGTAGGAAGCTAAGGCTTTGCTGTTCAAGGTCCTGGTGGTCTCTATGTTGATTCTGAGCCCTCATCTGATACTGTTCTTTTATGGGTCCTCCATCCCTTGTTTCCATTTGAAGAACTGGTTCATCCTGGTTTAAAGAATTCGAACTATGATCCTGAAGTTGTTGTTGCACAAATGATATAGACTCCTTTTGGGGATTCTTATACCCCTGTGGCCAGCTTGGTTCTTCTCTGGTGGCAATCTGGACCCCCACACTCTGCAAGAGAATGGATTTCTGCAAGATGAAGTCTCTGTGCTCTAGATGGGCAAGCTTCACAACAGTAGGCCTGGGGGCAGGGGTTTTGCCTGCCCTGTAAGCCTCCTTGATGTACCTGTTACTCTGCATGCCGTTAACACAGAGGTGCTTGGCTAGGAAGCTGTCCACCAGTTCCACAGTATTTTCCCCATCTTGCTCAGGAAGTCCATACAGATACAGAATAGCTTCTTCAATGGGTCTGTCCACATGGGGTTCCTGGGCCTTTCCCCCCACACACACCTTGGCCAGGGAGCTGCTTCCCACCTGCAAGCCTTCTATTTCACTCAGTACTGAGTCTACACAGCTAGAGACTTCATCCACTGAGCCCCGGACTTGGCTCAAGTGCTGCCGCAGCTCAGCAATCTCAGTCTGAAGACAGCTGATGCCTTGCAGTTCTCTGATGATATATTCTACCACATCCCCCAAAGGCTCTTGCTGTTCACAGCTACAGCCTTGTCTGGGGCCTCTGGACAAAAGGGGCTTGGCTTGGTTCCTCTCTGAGGACTCTCGACAGATTTTGGTAATGCTGACAGATGAGAGGTCCTGAGAACCAGACCCTGAAATATAGGAAGTGGAGCCCAGAGGATGCTGGCTGTTGGCCTGCTGCCCAAAGGTGCATGGCTGGGCCAGGTTCCCATCTCTGTCTCCACCCATGGCTGAGGCTGCTGACCCACGGCAAGGAGGCAGGGAGTTGTCTTCTAGTAACGATCCAGCAGGACCTGAGGACTTGCTCTTGATGCCACACACAGTCTCTGCCTTAGCCTTATCTGGGGAAAGCCTGGAGGAGGGTCCCAAGGTGACCATGATTTCTTCCTCTGACTCTGGCAACAATCGCTTCATTTTCTCCCTCAGTGTCTGAGGGGTTCTCTGCTTCTTCTTATTTCTAGTCAGGATGTTTAATAAATATTGCCTTGGAAGGCAATAGCCTGTTCTGCTCTTTCCAGTCTGCTTCTAGTAATTATTGCTGGCTGATGCCTTGGGCTTAGACCACAGTGCTGCCTGGAATGGCCCCATGTGTGGCCTCCAAACCTGGCACATGCACCTGGATCTTGGCTTGACTCTTATCCTGTAGCTAGTGAAAAAGGAAAATAGTGCACTCAGGTCAGAAAGCAGCAGGATAATTCTAATTTGAATCAAGCTGTCAAGCAAGAATAAGAATGTTACCTTCTAAGACTGTAGGCCTTATCAACTCTGAACTGCCTCCCAACTCTGGCCTTAAAGGCTACAGGCAGTCAGGCAGTCAGTTCTCTCTTCTTGGCTTCCCATTAGAGTACTGATGTGAAATTAAATCAAGTCTTTTCTGTTCTGGCAAGCACCCAAAGGTATCAGTATTGAGACAAGCTACTGGGAGGTAGATGGGGTAAGGTCAATGAGTGACTCCTAATTTGAACCTTCACAAAATTCAGCATTAGGGTCTGGCTCAGAAATGAACAAATAGATGCTTAAGCACCAAAGTTCAAACCACATACACAGAGGAAGACAAGACATGGAATGTTTGTTTTTCTTTCTTTCTTTTCCAGTTTGTTGTTCAAAGGTTCACCCCTGCCTGTGCTTATAGCACAAAGTGTTTTCCCTTTGTTTAATGATAGGAACCTTAACTTGGAGAAAGGACCATGGCAAGAATTTTAGCTTGGAGGAAAAAATATTCCTACACCTAATTCCAGAATAAGGGGGTACAGTATGGGAATAGTCACTGTCAAGAACTCAGGTGGCATTTAGCGTATTTGTACCTAGGGGGGCAGGTAGCCAAAGGCACACTTATCATGAGCTCACAACTGGCAATAAAGGAGGCTTAGGCTCAGCTTGGTGTTCCTGAGCTCCATTTAACAGTCCCAAAGGGCTTGGTGCAGCCTAATCAATACCCAGGTTCAGCTTTTCTGGCCAAGAAGATCTTTCAGAGCACCACAGTAAGTGATTGTCCAGTACAATGTCCACTGCTCAAGTAACAGAGGGTTGTTCTAACCTTTTAACTGGCCTGGAGAGAACAATGCATGGGACAGGTAAGGAGTTAGCTACATCACAGAGGGCTCTAGGGTGCTTTGCTGTTCTCCAAAAAGGTGAAGACAGACCTGCCACCAATCTTGCCCCTAACGCCTTAAACTATTGGCAACTGCAGTACAGATGCAGAGATGATGATTATCTTCTGTGGAGTAGGCATCCATTATTCCCTTTTTACTAGGAATGCGCAACATGTAGGAAAGGAGCAGCGTGGAAAGTACAAAGGAGAAAGCAGAGATCCAGAAGATGCACAGGACTGCCAATACTCTGGGTTCTGCTAGGTCACCCCAGGAGGGGTAAGAGGTGTTAGTGGGAGACATGCTACCCTTCATGTTCTTTGACCAGAGATGGTTACCCCATCTTTTAGATTTGATCTAGATTTCTAAATCTTCTAAACCCTTGTCTCCTTTTATTTTCCCAGCCACTCAAGTTAATTCTGAAAGGAGAAAACTGCCTTAAAGAACACAAACTGATTGCTCTCACAGCAACTGATTTTCAGGAAAGGCCACTATTTACATCTGTAGTCTGTGGGCCTGAAATTTAAAAGCACTGTGCTTCCCCAGACTAGGAGGAACCAGAAGGAGAAGTCACAGGCCTTGGGATAAAGATGAAGATGACTTCTTTTACTGGAAACAACCAGGCCAAGAGCCAAGAGATTGAAACTTGAATTCCTATTTCATATCTTCCCCTCTTCTCTCCAGCTCATCTAAGAACTCTACTTCATCGAAAAATTCCTCATCTAAGAATCCTACCCATCCTGTGAGGCAGTGAAGAGGCCCAATTCATTAATTACTGCTTTACCTTAAGGTCTCAAGGGGCCTGGACCAACCATACCCCTAATCTGGCCAATCAGTCTAGTTGTAAGGATGCTATATGTGCACAACCACAATTCCTGGGTCTTGGGCTTGGTACCCAACTGCCTAGGCGGACCAAGCCCCCAATTCTAGGATTAACTCAAATTCTTCCTTCTCTCTTCCCACAAGTACAAAATGTGTATTTCCAAAGACACACCTTTCTTTTCTTCCCAACCACGCAGGGATTGAGTGTCCCTGATTTGGCACTAGCATCTGGTGTTAGCCCTGAACAATATCCCTGGCTCTACAAAGGCTGGAACTGCCAATTTGCCTTTCAAGTTTGTCTCAAAGGAGAAAGACTGATTGCTAACCCAAGATAGAAGCTCTGTGTTTAACCATATGAGGTCATGAGCAACTGCTACTGGATTGAGAACTGGGAGATTTAAGTTTGAGTCTTGCTTCATCAGTGACCTTGGATTAAATACATGACCTCTCTGTGCATTACTTTCCTCATCTGTAAAGTAGGGAAGATAATTACAGGAATGTTATAAAGCTAAAATGATAGACTGGTACCTAGTAAACTGTAAAGCACAGCAGTGTTATTATTACTGACATGGCAAGTTCCTGAGTCAAAGAAGCACAGAAACCAATACTAAGCCAAGCACCCAACTGCCTAAATGGTATGATCTGAGTGAACCATGACTTCTTCCCCTGCCCGAGACTCCTGCCTTTCCCGGTCCCTTTTAATGGTCTGCAGCAGTGCCTGGAATCCTACCAGTAGAGTATCATTCTTTGAGTTAGTCCTGCTTTCTCCTAGAAGTTTTCTTTTAAAGTTAGAAGTGGGAAGAGCAAATCATTTAGTTCCCAACACTTCATTCAGGTGTCAAGAGGCCTGACATCCTCCCTCAGACAACCTAAAAGCATGAAGAAGGGGCAAATGGCTATAGGAGACAAATTTTTCTTTTCTTTTCTTTTCTTTTTTTTTTTTTTGTGGCTAGCCACAGGGATGAAATCCTGGACATTGGTGTTATCAGCACTACACTCTAACCAACTGAGTTAACCTGCCAGCGCAAGCCTTTTCTTTCTAATCTAATGTTGGTGAGGCCCAGAATCCATTGCCAAGTCCTCCAAGGCCAGCCCCACTTTGATCCAGATGGGGCAGTTTGTTGGGAACAAAAATGAGGCTGCTTCAGTACAGGCCAGGTTAATTGGGGCCTATCTGCTTCTGCCCTCCAGATCAGTACTCCAGAGAGACCTGGCCTAACTTCCTGGACAGACTTACCAGGTGTCCCCTCCCAGACTGCAGTTCCTACAACATTGACTGACCAGCCACACAGGGGGCAAATGGTACAACCACTGAGTTCAGAGCCCTTTCCTATGACCTCCAACTGAACTAACCAGCCAGCCCAAGTTTTTCTTTCTAATGTTGGTGAGGACCAAAGGCAGAGCCAACTGGTTCCCTACCTTACTGACAAATAGGAAATTTCCAACTAGAGCTGCCATAGCAACTCTTCCCAGACCCAAACAAAGATGCTTGCTTCCATATTAAACACACAAGCAAAACCCTCCAAACCTTCTTCTGCCCCTGGGTAAACTGTGAACTTAAAAATCATCTCCTGCGGATACGTGTTCCCTAAAGTCACCAAACTCATTCGGTCACCCAGGTCTGTAGGTTTTGAAGCAGGGGACAGAGCTCAATGTGATGCCCAGAAGATCAACCAGTCACTTTGTTCAGAGTCCAACAGGATATAAGAAGCCAGAATGAGCAGAAATTGCAACCCTGAGAGCCAGGAGGCCCAATTCACCTCCTTTTCCAGCCTCTCTCTGCTACTACTGTCCACAGGAATGATATGACAGACCCAAACTGTGAAAAGGACCACTTGATTTCCAAGTCAATTCAAATGAATGAGTACCTACTGGGTATGCCTGGCACTAAACTATGTGCCAGGGATATAAGACACAGTCCCTGCTCTCTAATATATTAAGGTTTGGAGAGGGAGATAGACATAGGGACAATCACAATATAAAGTGATACATGTTATAAGAGAAGTTGTAATAAGAAGTATGCATTTAATGCCAGAGGTAGGGAATGGGAAGGAGGTCAGAAGCCCAGCAAAAAACAGGACAAAGAAGGCCACAAATAAGTAATTTTTGAGCTAGGATGGGATAAAGAGGCTTTGGTGTCCACCCAGTTCAAACCCAGCCCCTCTAGTTTCCTTTAAGGTACCTGGTACTGTCACTCTGCCCTTTCCTGTTGGCCTATCCACTCTGGTCAACTCACCAAATTTCATACATACACTCTCAGAAATAACCATATCTTTCTGTACTCTTTTCCTAAGGAATGTCTAGAGCTGGAAAAAACAGGGCAGCCCTTTCAAGGAATATCTACATTCGAAAAGGGAACACATCAAAACAAAATGAATTAATCAAAAAGATTAAAGCTTTAATGATGGAAAGCTGAGAATTACGGCAGGGAATAGACCCAGTAAATCACACTGCATCAGCACCAGCCCACCAAAAAAAAGACAAGAGGAAAAGAAAATATCCTCAGTTTTCTGAAAGGGCTGTTTCTTTTATCCCTCTCTGACTTGTCAAATAAACATAATAATTAGGAATGTGACTATTCCTTGTAAAAACTGCTTCTGACCCGAATCTTGGCTAGAGAAAACAATCAGAAGACCTCTGGGAACAGGGCAGGACTCTTGTGTAGTACACATACCAAGCAGCTTCTCACTTTGTGTGAAACAAGCCCCATAGGCAGAAAGCCAAGTGCTCATTCTTGGGCCATTTACCAATTATGCCATATGGCTAATACAGTGACAGGAATGAATTTCTAGGGCCACAGCAGGTAGGGGTACTCTTAGGACATTAATCTTTGAGAAAGAATCAATGCCTACAGAGTATCTCATCTGAAGAAAATGATCAGGACACAAGGTATAAAGAGTGAGATTAGCCAAAGGGAGTAGGGAATGCTTGAGATCAAAGGCTTAGCAAGGCCCCAGTACTGCAGTTCCTAGGATTTGTCATCCCTCTTCACCAGCATTAAAA